GATAAATAGACAGTTCTAAAGATAAAATATATATACTTTTATACATATTTTAGGGATGTAACGATATCCAAATCTCTCTGTTCTGGCCGTGTTTATTTCCCCTCTTAAGTCACTATAGATCCGTTCGATGCAAATGTCCAAGCTTTTGCAAATGTCGTCTTTATTTTTGGCGAGCACCTTTGAGATCTTCGACTGCTTCTGTCAAGGCCCGGTTGGACGGTTCAGTGTCGGCGACTCGGCTACTTCACGCGCCTCCGTTTCTGTCGAGCCGGCGCTTGGTCGAGGCCTCGTTCAGTCGTTTGGTGTTTCTTGGGTTTGTGTCGCTTCATGCTGAAATAATCGCTCGAACGCAGCACTGGCATGTCTGTCTAGTGCTCCAAAAACAAAGTGAACTTTAGGGATGATTTGGGCATGATTAGTCGATTAATCGATAATTGATCATTAAGAATTTCATTGATTACGTTCATTTTTAATCGACAAACCGAATGTAGGTTGCTGTGTGTAGCTTAGAATGACCAAACGAACGTGTCCGGGGACAAACGAGGGTCTGTACATGTGTCTCTGCATCAGAAGGAGCGAGACACAAACAGTGGGTCAGTCTGTAACGAACCGAAGCACAAATGTGGATTTAACGATGATTTGTACAAGAAATTCCACACTTTCCTTTCCGGTTGAGCCAAGTGTGAGTCCATGTGCACAGTTTACAAAGCAGCACATATGTTTCGGTGTCCAGTGGGAAAAAGTTCACCAGGACACAGAAAAACATGAAAAAGTTTTACCAGGTGAGAGTCGCTCAATGTGGATGACGAGGCCCCGCCCCCCTCCCCCCGTACGCTGTCCTGGTTTTGACAAACGCAAATCTGGTCACACTGACCTGTATTCACCTGAGTCGCTTTTAATCCAACACAAGTTGAACCACATCACGACACAAAAGTTGATTTCTTTTTTTCACTTAGTTTATGTAAATTAGTGATGTGGTTTTAAGTTTTGTTTCTGTGAGATTTGTACAAATCTGAATTAAACACATTATAATGTCAAACAGCTGATGTGGATCTAGAGTCGTTATGTTTATATGTCGTAAAGTTGAATTTATTTATGCAGATTAGTGCAGATAGTAATAATAATGATGATCATTTTAATATAAAAATGTTAATGATTAATCGATAAATGATCGTTAATTCTCCCGACGATCGATTAAGAAAATTTAATCGAAAGCCCATCCAAAGTGCACTTAAAAACTATTTTTAAAGGATTTGCACCTTACTCCCTCGTCGCTCGCCTGTCGATATCCAAATCTCTCTGTACGATATTATCACGATGTGCATCTCACGGTACGATATTTACTGCGATGTTTTGGAGAGGCTGATATAATTGTAGATAAGATCATTTTTGCTTTTAAAATACTCTGACAGGAATTTGGTGTGAATTATTACTAGTGGTGTAACGATATCCAAGTCTCACGATACGATATTATCACGATATACATCTCACAGTACGATATTTATTGAGGTATTTTGTGGAGGCTGTGTACGTTTTCCTCTTAAAATGCCTTGACAAAACTTAACCCAAAGAACTAAGACTTAAAAGTGTTAAAACAGTTATTTCTTCTTGTCGTCTGCACTGAAATGGAGCAAAGGATCATGGTCTATGTAGTTTTTTGTCTTTTTTGAGTTATGCTGCGCCATAACTCTTCATTTAAACAAAGACACTTGTAATTCGATATATTGTGATGATCCACGATATTATTGTGAGAACTTTTGACGATACGATATCACGATATTTCGGTTATTGTTACATCCCAAATTATTTCAGTCATAATCTCAAGAATTCAAATAAAAACATGTAAATTTATGTTTTCTGAGCTGAAATGAATCATGGGATATGTAGTTCCAGAAGTTTATTAGCCATTACTACTTTAAAACAATGCATTTATTTTATTGTGATGGTCCGCGGTATTATTGTGAGACTTTTGACGATACGATATCACGATATTTTGGTTATTGTTACATCCATAATAAATATTTTTTAACAGCATTTAACACACAACACAAGAGTCTATTTTGTGTAGTATTGCACCTTTAAGAGACGTTTCGAGCAAAATTTGTCCAATAAATCGTCCAATTACACCAAAATATCGTCTTAAGCAAAACATCAGCTGAACCGATATCTTAGAATCCGATATTCGATACCAGTATTGTGCATCTCTACCAATTTTGACAATTTTCTCCAAACGATCGAATTCTTTTTGGACTTAATTGTGCATTGTGTAACTTTTAGATGTTATTGCTTTGTCTGGAATGTTCCACAGTACGGCATTAACATCAGAGACCAAAACAAACCAAGTTACAGGTCAGATCTGCGGAGAGGCGACCCGGCTCACAGTCAGAACGTTTGTTTTTCTAGGTACATTGTGTAACTCGTCGAGTGGAGGGTCCGTTTAGAGCTTTTTATTTTTCACCGTGTACTTGATATTTCGTTGTCTGGAATGTTCCACAGTGAGGCTTTAAAGCTTTCTAACGCCACCGAGACCAAAACAAACCGAGTTACAGGTCAGATCTGCGGCGAGGCGACCCCGCTCACAGACATAATGTTGTTTTTCGAGGTGTTTTTGAGCTATAAAACCACCTGTAATTGACAAAAAAGTAAAGTAGAGCTGTTTAAAGTCACACTGTGGAACATTCCAGGCACAGCAATGACATCTCCATAGAAACAAGCAGGGAAAGTTACGCAGCGCACCTTTACGAGTTCAAATAAAGCCGTATTCATGCATATAGAAGCACTCGGTTGGTCCAAACTAAACAAAAAGCGCAAATATCTGCTTTTTTTCTTTTTGAGTTATCTCCAATATCGAAGCTTACAAATATTAATAAAGGTGCAGTAAAGTAAAATTACAGCAGAACTTTTGTTAAAAACTAAAAAATAAATCACAGAATATCAGATTAAAATCCACATGACCCTGTTACTCAATGCACCGATACAATCACCTCCTCAAGTCCAGCTCCGTTCACGCTCGAAAATCAGCACTGTGTCTGTGTTTGTGACAAAAAAAGAACCGCAAATCTACCAAAAAATATAAATAAAAATAAGATTTGTTAGAGATAAACTCCACAAATGTTTCCTTAAATCTTTCGTCTTATGCGCTTTTTATTTACAGTTCAAAATTTACCGAAACTGAAACTTAAATTATTATTTTACAAGGACGAGTCGAGCAAGTTTTTATATTTTCTGTACATTTAATAAACAAGTTTGAAGTCGGATTGTGTAACTTTTCTGGGGGGGGTCCGTTATCTGATCTGCTCGTTGCTACGGCGATGTCTTGCGGTCTTTTATTTAGAACTTCACTATGATTTTTTGCATTTTTACACTTCGTTTTTGTAATAAAATGTGACTTGTGAGGTCCCGTGTCGAAGTTATTTCTTTTGTGGATCGATAAAGTTCAAGTCTAAGTCATTTCTCTGCTTGGAATGTTCCACAGTGTGACTTTAAACAGCTCTACTTGACGTTTATTCCAATTACAAGTGGTTTTAGAGCTCAAAAATACCTCGAAAAACAACATTCTGACCGCGATCGGGCTCGTCCCTCCACGGATCTGACGTGTAACTTGGTTTGTTTCGGTTTCCGTGGCGTCAGGAAGCTTTAAAGCCGTACTGTGGGACATTCCAGACGAAGCAACAGCACGTACACGGTGGAAAAAAAGCTCTAAACGGACCCTCCGCTTGGACGAGTTACACAATGCGCCGTTAAAACTAAAACATGTCCCTGAGAATTTCTAATCTAGTTAAATATTTGCCGATTATTTTAACGGCACAATTAATTCGTCTCAAAGTGCACTCGATTGCTTTTTGCGGTCGGTAACAATCAAAGCTTCTGAAATCTGAGGGGCATTGTGAAAATTTAGAGACGACGCCGATGTTTCCTCTGCGTTTTTGTGTTTAGTTTTTACAAAAATGAACTTAGAAGCGTCTCAAAAACGTTTGGGATTTTCTTCTTCGCCGTTCCTCCTTCCTCCAAGTGAAGAGTTTTTGAACGCAGAACAAGTGGAACAGTGATGTTTTTAATAAATGTTATTATTCTAGAGCCTTTTATTTATCAGTAAAGGTCCAAGTTGTGGATTATTTCGAAAAAAGAAAGAAGCAAAAAAGCAAAAACAGCCTCAAAATGAATCAATAAAGTAAAAGTACTGTACGTTTTAAGTATCTGTACTCATGTGGACACCTTTTACTTCAATATATAATTAAAAAACAGCAAGAAAAATACTTAGATTTAACTGCTTTGTGTTGAATCTGTATCAAAATTTGTACTTTTAAAGCTGTATCAGGTATCTGTACTCATGTGGACACCTTTTACTTCTACTTCACTGCGTTTGAGAGCAAGTATTTGTACTTTCTACACTGCTAAAAGAGTGTTTTGGATGATAGTTTGAGATTTGTGGGTTTATTTTGATACACAAATAAAAAAACAACTAGAAAAATATTTAGATTGAACTGTTTTCGTTGAATCTGTATCAAAATCCGTACTTTAAAAGCTTTATCAGGTCTCAAAATCTGCGAAACACTTTTACTTTTTAGTCTTTAAGTACGTTTTTAAGCTGGTAGTTGTTGTACTTTTATTTTTACGTGCGTATTTTAAGTTAAGTACGAAAATTGAGCACTTTTTCCACTTCTGCCTGTGTCTAAAATGTAAAATTAAATTACAAAACAGGTCTGCGAGTTCATCTTAAGACAAATGGTGATGGATGAACGCGTCGAATAGTGACCGAAAAGGGTTTGAGGTTGGAGGATAAGTGCAGGAGCGAGTTAAAACGCTAGTATCTGTGAGTGTGTGCGTACTGAGCCTTCACCCGGGCGGAGGGAGTCACATGCCCCGCTCCAGCAACAGGTCCCCCCCGCTGCAACAAGCCCACGAGTCCCAACAAATGCAAAACCAGCATCGTTTACGCACAAAACTCCAAAAAAAACCCAAAAACAAAAAAAAAAAACAACCACGCTCCACACGCTTACCTTTTCTTCTCCTTGTCCGCCGTCATGTTGGCTCCTAAAGTAATTCCCCACGGGCTCACGTAAGTCCAAAAAGAGTTTTAAAGCACGAGAAAAGTTCGTGGAAGCGTCGAGGGGGGTCACCGTTATTCACAGCGGGGTCATCCGAGCGCGCGTCCGGCCCGGGGTGGGGGGGTGGGGGGGAGAAATACGCACGGGGGTCGAGGGGCCGTACGGTCTCAGAAACACTGCCGAGGATCGTACAGCCGCTGCCCGCGTGGAGAGGGTCTACGGGGCCGCTGCGTGCGCGCCGTGGGTCCGCCCGGGGTGTGTGCGCTCTGGCCGGAGGTCGGTGGGTGGCAGGTCCGAACTTCGGCGGTTCTCGTGCGGCGAGTGTGGGAGCGCGCTCTGACCTGTGCCTCTGTGCGCGTGTGTGCCGCTGCTGTCACCAGGGCGGCGCGCTGATTGGCCTCCACCTCGAAAGAAGCTCCGCCCCCCCTCCCCCCTTTCTCCACCCCTCCCCTCCTCTCCCCTCCCCTTTCGCGCGAGGCCCACGGCGAGCGGCTCGTGCGCAGGTGAGACGCGGACCAGGAGCGCGAAAGGGATTGTGGGAACTGGTGGGTAAGATGTTCGCATCAAACGTAAATCTGCACAAAAACTGTGACAGTCGTTTGTGCTGCAAAAAGTTTTGTTTGTGCCGCTTTAGGTTTGGAAACATTAATTATTCTTAACGATCATGAGTCAAATTAGGATCAGCAGCCCCCAGGAAGCTTCAAAATGCTCTAAAACGACACAAAAAGGAGTCAGTTGTTTGTGCTGCAAAAAGTTTTGTTTGTGTGATTCTGGTTCTTAAAATATTAACAGTTTTATTTTAGGTCGATGACATCGTCCAGCCTCTCAAAATGTTAAATCGAGCTCAAAACAGCAGAAAATTATATGAAACGTTTGTATTTCATCGCACCTCGGGTCCGTCTCACCTGTGCACGAGTCGTCCGTGATGCTGGCCCCATAAAACGCACAACTACACAAAAACTGTCAGTCGTTTGTGTTCCGTTTGTGCTGTTTTAGTTTTTCAGATATTAACGATTCTTAACGATCATGAGTCAAATTAGGATCAGCAGCCTCCAGGAAGCTTCAAAATGCTCTAAAACGACACAAAAAGGAGTCAGTCGTTTGTGTTTCGTTTGTGCTGCAAAAAGTTTTGTTTGTGCGATTCTGTTTTCAAGATATCAGCAGTTTCATTTTAGGTTGACAACATCGTCCAGCCCCTCAAAATGTTGAATAAATCTCAAAACAGCAGAAAATTATGCAAAACGTTTGGATTTCGTCGCACTGCAGGTCTGTCTCTGATTCTTTCGTAAGTCAAATTAGGATCAGCAGCCTCCAGGAAACTTCAAAATGCTCTAAAACGACACAAAATGGAGTCAGTCGTTTGTGTTTCGTTTGTGCTGCATAAAGTTTTGTTTGTGCGATTCTGGTTCTTAAATATTAGCAGTTTTATTTTAGGTCAATAACATCATCCAGCCCCTCAAAATGTTAAGTAGAGCTCAAAACAGACAGAAAATTAAATGAAACATATTTTGTCTATTTGTGACGAGAAACAACATTACAACAGATGAAAAAATGGCATAATACAAGCTTTTAAACCCTCACGCTCTCCTCTGGGTCACATTGACCCGAAGATATATATATATTTTTTTTCTTTTCTCTCCTGGCGAGAATTAAAGAGCGTGAGGGTTGAAGTTTTTGTTTGTTTTACGTGAACATGATATGCAACAATTTATGTTTTCGCCTCAGGTTCATCTCACTTGTGCACGAGACGTCTGTGAAGTCGGCCCCATCAAACTCACACTTGCACAAAAACTATGTCAACCTTTTCTGCTTTGTTTGTGCTGCAAAAAAAGTTTTGTTTGTGCTGTTTTAGTTCTGGAGATATTAACAATTCTTTCATAAGTCAAATTGGAGTCAGCAAAAGCCTCCAGCTGCAAAAAATTCTGTTCAAAAATTCATTCGTTCAAAATGTTAAATCGAGCTCTAAAAAAACGCAAAAACACAAAAAGTTGGCATGTCATGTCAATCGTTTGTGTTTCATTTGTGCTGTTTTAGTTTCTGGAAACTAAAACAGCATTTTGAAGTTTCTGGAAACTTCAAAATGCTCTAAAACGACAAAACAACACAAAATGGTGTCAATGTTTCGTGCTGCAAAAAGTTTTCATTTGTGTGATTCTGGTTCTTAAAATATTAACAATTTTATTTTAGGTTGATGACGTCGTCCAGCCTCTCAAAATGTTAAATCGAGCTCAAAACAGCAGAAAATTATACAAAACTTCTGTATTTCGTCGCACCTCGGGTCCGTCTCACTTGTGCACGAGTCCGTGAAGTTGGACCCATCAAACGCACAACTACACAAAAACTGTGTCAACTGTTTGTGTTCCATTTGTGCTGTTTTAGTTTTTGAAATATTAATGATTTTTTATAGGTCAAATTGGAATCAGCAGCCTCCAGAAAACTTCAAAATGTTCTAAAACGACACAAAATGGAGTCAGTCGTTTGTGCTGTTTTGTGCTGCTAAAAGTTTCATTTGTGTGATTCTGGTTCTTAAAATATTAGCCTTTTTATTTGCAGCCGATGTCGTCATCCAGCCTTTCAAAATGTTAAACAGGCTCATAACAGCAGAAAATTACACAAATTTGTATTTCGTTTGTGCTGTTTTGTGCTGTGACTAAAATTATTCATTATTATTTTGTAGAAATTATATGACGTTATTTCCGCTCTGCTGACGGCGGCAAAACTCCACAAAACTAGTGAAGAGAAACGATCTGAGGCTGTGGAAAAGTCTGTGTTATTATATAAAATATGAATTAAAAGCAAATGTCTAAAGACTGATTCATATTTTTCCACAGCCTCAGGTCGTTTATCTTCACTTTTGCAGAGTTTTGCTAAAGTTGCCGCCGTCAGTCGAGCGATTAGGTGATTACGTCATATAATTTCCACAAAAATAATAATGAATAATTTTAGAAACTCGCACAAATGAAAATTATCACAGCACAAATTTTTTTATGACCAACAGTGAAGCGCTCTATGTTTTCTCTTCTGTTTGTGACAAGGAAACTACATTAGAACAATAACGTCATGTCAGCCCTTTAAATAAAACACAGTATCATGTCGGCTTTAAAGGGCCCATCTGATGCAAAATCAACTTTTCAGATCTTTCTACCTTCTCAGACTGATGTGTGGGCCTTGTATTTGTCGCTGAAGTGTTTTTTAGATTGATTCTGCGTTTTTTTTACAAATTGCAGTGTATTTCTGCCACCCTGCCACGTGACAACGAACTAAAGCTGCTACGACGACGACGCGGCAGATTCACCGATGTGACGTAGCAGAAAACACTTCACACCTGCCCCCCTCCCCCGCTCCACCACCTCCGCCCCGCCTCCACCCTGCATCTGACAATTCCCACACGAACACCTAAACAAAGGCTTAAGGGATCGGCATTCGATAACATTTTCTTAATCGATCGTCGGGAGAATTAATGATCAAAATAAATATCGAATTAATCATGCATTCAAACTGATTTTTTAAAATATTTTAAATAAGTTCAAATATTTGTCAAATCAAATTGAAATCTTTTTGATAATTTTCACTTTTATTTTATCTGTACTGAATTTACAAATGAAACTGCAATTCAAAAAAGTTTCAACACGTTTAAAGAGAGAGCATCTGGTGGGGAACAGAGACTGTGCTCTAGAGCCGAGCCACATCAGCTGTTTGACATTATCATGTGTTTCACTAACTGGGACCACGAAAACAACAACATAGTACGAAGAAATGTTATTGATAATGTACGAAGTGAGGCAGAGATGGCTGCTTGAGACTCTGGGTGGAGGCTCTGTCTCAATTTCCAATTGGCCCAGCTGGAACGGGACCCCTCTTGTCTTATGACTGAAAGACAGAATAGGGGATGGGAGGGTGGGGTCGAGTTCGCCGAAACAAACTGGGATGATGGGAAAGGCTGCTTCATAGAGGCTTCTGGGAAATTCGAGGCCTGGTGGAGGTGAGCTGTGGTTCGCTGGTGAGAGGAGAGGGCGGCTGAGGCGTGGTCCTGCTCCTGAATCTCACTTAATCTTATTCACTACATTTAATGCAGATTTGTTAAAGTCTCACAGAAACAAAACTTAAAACCACATGGCCCATTTGCATAAACTAAGTGAAGAAAAAAAAAACAGCTCTTGTGTCGCTGATGTGGTTCAACTTCTGTCGGATTAAAAGACATGACTCAGGTGAATACAGGTCAGTGTGACCAGATTTGCGTTTGTCAAAACCAGGACAGCGTACGGGGGGAGGGGGGCGGGGCCTCGTCATCCACATTGAGCGACTCTCACCTGGCAAAACTTTTTCATGTTTTTCTGTGTCCTGGTGCTTTGAGGTCCCTGACACACTGGACACTGAAACATATGTGCTGCTTTGTTCACTGTGCACATGGACTCACACTTGTCCCGACTGGAATGGAAAGCGGAGAATTTCTTGTACAAATCATCGTTAAATACACATTTGTGCTTCGACACGTTGCAGACTGACCCACTGTTTGTGTCTCGCTCCTTCTGAGTGCAGAGACACATGTACACACCTGTTTGGTCTCACTACACTACATACAGCAACCTACATTCAGTTTGTCGATTAAAATGAATGTAATCAATGAAATTTTTAATGATCACTTACCGATTAATTCAACTAATCATGCCCATCCCTAGACAGCATAAGCAGCACATGTTATAATAAGTTGATCTACTAGTGTTTATTAAAACTTTACCAATCAGTAATGTTCAGTTGATGTGGACTCGGTGCTTGAGCTTCGTGCTCCTCAAAGTCCTCGTCCGATTCCAGGTCCAACACATGCGGCTGAACGCGCTGTATCTCCATGATGAATAAAAGTTTATTCCTGCCACTGTCAGGGTCACGCCTGTCTCCCCCTCCCTCCCTGAGATGGCGGAGGAAGGGCGGCTCACTCAGAGTCTACGTCACGTTTGGAGGGCGGAGCCTGTGCTTTCTCAGGACGGGCGGGGGAGGAGCAATAGTCGGACTTTCATAGTTCCTGGTCTGTGACTGACTCCAAGAAATCAGTAAGATTTCAGAACTATTGTGTAATGGATGTTCCAAAACCCAAACTGTGCTTGTTTATGTGCAGAAGATACAATGTGAAAAGAGTTATTTTACATCAGATGGACATTTAAAAATCTCGTGTGTGGTGAGTGACTCAGAGCTCGACGCTGCTGCACATTATTCTGTTAAACTCTCCCTGACTCTCCTCCTTCAAACGGACAAACACACTTCAGGAGACGGACCTGAAAAGAGTCGCCATGGCAACAAATCATAAACACATCAGAATAATCATAATAATAATCATAATGATAATATGATTTTCTTTTT